AAGTAAACATGTATCTAAACTTTTGACCACACTTGTAATCTTAGCTTTGCCTTGAATTTAAGTATTTAGTTACACCAAATATTGTAATTGGAATATTTTGATAGATACTCTTCTTTCCTTTCCAACGTAAGAGGCAGCAAAGCAGTATGCATAAAAATATTTAATGTGTTGTAAATCATACCAGAAATTTTCTGACACTTGTAAAGCTTGCGTTGTTTTGCCATCTCTATTGTTCTCTGTATTTCTCCATGTTATAATGTATTTGTTATTTAGTTATAGGAAACAAACAATACCCTCTTGACCTGTTGTTTTACAACATCACTTTTATTACTTTCTTATCAAGAAAGGCCTTCCGAAATATATCTTTATATAGAAAAACGATGACCCTTACTAGCTCTGAGTTATTTGTTTTCTTGTTCCTCCCTTATTCTATCCCTCCATCCTCCCCTCCATCTTTTTCTTCATGCCTCTGTATTCAGAAGGAAAGGAAAGCAGGAGGTTTATTAAAACTCTTATCAGGCGCCGCAGCAAAGAAGAAACCTCGCTCACCCCCATCCTCCCCACCCACCCATGACCCCACTGGTCAAGGCGCCGTGGCTACCGACCCCGTGCACCACCATCACCACCACGCCCGCTCAGGTTCCTGTCCGATGGCGTCGCAAGGACGAGCCGGTTCATGTCCAATCGAGAGCGACATGGCGGGGGCAATTGGGCTGGAGCCTCTGCACAGAAAGTCCGGTTCCCTGGATACCAACTTCCCCATGTCACCCCCGGCAACACGTGCTGGCAATGCTCTGATGGTCCTCCGACCTGAACCCAAACCCCTGTCCAGAGAGAGGTGGGCACACAGACACATGAAAACACACTTAAATAGTCTGTACGCAACAGGTGGATTTAGCCACCTGCTGTTACGAGCTTAACATTTGTATGTTTGAGAGAGTGGTTTGGATTGGATGTTTGGATGAGAGGTGGAGTAATAAATTATCAGTCAATAAAGGTAAGCCTGGTTCTCAAGCTGAATCCATAGTTTGTATAGACACAGACATCAAAAACTCTGCAGAAGACACCAATACCACCAACTTGATTGAGAGAGGGATCAAGTAACAGGCGGATGCTCAAACTCTTTGAGCGCCTGTCACTTAAAGCAGCCACATGGCCAAAATTCACAACCTCTGCAGTTTTCATAAAAAGGAATATTGGCTCTAAAGACAAAAACCTTTTTTTTTTTTTTTTGCACCAGAATATGTTAAATTCTGCTGTGTATCCAGGCATTTTAACATGTGGATTATTTGGTTTTAATGCCAGCCTTCAAGGAGTGTTTGGCACTTCCATGTTGGCTTTATTTTCCAGCCCCGGAGGTTGCTGCTTGATAAACACAGATAAACAAACACGCTTGCAGGCCAAGGTGACGCTTTTATGAACTTGGCTCAAGCACAAGTTTATTGTCACTGTGCAGAACAAGGCTGCAGGCGATGCAATATTCCTCAAACAAATCCGTTATATTGTTTCTCTCCAGAGAGATTAAAAAGTTAACCAAGGTAATATTTGGATATGTGCGAGAGCAGAACACTGACAATATCGCAAATACTGCGAGTAAATGAACACTCTGACCAGCTGGAAATGACAGCAAATATTTTCTGACAAGATAGAAAATCTTGTGAGAGTGTGGGATAATAAACCATAAGCAGACAGTGGGTGAAAACAAAGCTGGGAGCCTCTCCAGAGGTGCCTTCATGACCAGTTGGTGCTCTTGAGGTGGTAGTTTTTTGTTATATATGCTGCCATCTATGTTAGTTGTTCTACACTTACTGCGATATGTGAGCTTAAGTACCCGAGCTTAAGTGTTGAATAAGAACACATCGCAATAC